AGAGGCTGTTGAACTCCCCAGGCTGCTTTTACACTCATCAACAGGATTACTAATAGCAGGCTCACTGAAGCGACCCTGCGATCATTTGGTTTCGGTTTTAAATGTCTATAATCATCTTAGAAGAACACCTGAGGTCTTACCATGAGTAACCTTTCTCCTCAGTTTCTTACTCAGGATCTTTTACTTTCTAATGTCAATACTCCTGCTGTAGCATCCCCCTGTGTGAAAGTGCTCCTACTGTTTAACTTAAACAGACCTGAAGCAAGGGATACCAAACTAACGACATTAGAGTAACTCCACCAGAGTTTCGTTTTTTCCCTCACTTTCACTAAAGGGAACCATGGTGACCAGAGCAGTTTTTAAGATTCTGTGTGCTCTACAAGGCCAGCTGAAGACATCTTGTGCTGGTTTAGGAGTGTAGTTGAAAAGGAGCAAAGGGCTTGCAAGAGGTCACGCTGTTGGAGAAATGTTGCTGAATTTACATGGCTCACCCAAACAAGGAAGTGGCCAAGAAAGCACACCTTGCTTTTTAAACATGGCTCACAAAGAGAGTTTTTTTCAATGAAATTATTTTTTTTTAAACCTTCAAAAATTAAGCAAGCTCCATTTTACCCAAATGGTTAATAATCTCACCAAAGCACACTGTGTCCATGGCCCCCACTCAGATATCACACAGTCCTCAGGGCATGGTAGTTTACACTCTCTAGAGCCCAGGGGCATATCTTCTGGGTCGCATAGGTAATCCTCCACATGTTCAGAAGGGCCATCTGCTGTATTCTGCATGCATCTAAAAGAAAGCATGCACATCAACCAAGGAACCAGGGCAATTAGAATGACAGCCAACACACAGGACGGGTAGGTCTCATTAAGACATCATCTGATAAGCAACATTCTCCCAAAGCAGAAAGTTGAAAGTAATCATGCCCCCACCTAAAGCTAGTATTTCTTTAAGAAAAAATGTTCACATGCACACTCAATATTTTAATAAGATAGCTTCAGTGAATTGGTAAATGCTATCATGTTTCTTTGCAAGGGAAGTAATTTTTACATCCATATGTGAGACAGGAACTAATGAAAAATGATCCAAAGAGATTCTCAGAGATGATGCAGTTGACTCATAGGTGATAGAGGCTTAGATACACTGCAATATTCACACAAAATGCTTCATCAGGTGATTTCAAAGATAAGGCATTTATCAGTTTGTTTTGTCATTTAAAAAGTAATTTTAGCTGCCAGCAAGATGACTCAGTGGGTAAAGGCGTTTGCAACCAAACCTGATGACCTGATTTCAGTCCCTAGAACTCACATGGCAGAAGAGAAAGAACTGATCCCAGCAAATTATCCTCCACATGGGCCCTGTGACGTGTGTGTGTGTGTGTGTGTGTGTGTGTGTGTGTGTACAAATAAATAAAACGAAATAGTTTTAAAAGCCATTTAAAAGGCAATTTTAGTTTCCCATCTGCTAACTTGAAAAGAAAGCCAGAAACCAAAAGAAAATTATAATTAGAACAGCACAACTTCTCTAAGTATGGTTATTTGGATCTTCTATCTTGATTTTTTTCTTAATTGTTAGTTTTCCTTTTATTGGAACAAATTTAAACCTTAGTTCATACTATTCCATTATGGACAGTCAAGAATTATTCTTTACTGATCTCTTGAGAAGCTAATTAATTTGGCTACCCTTTAGCTTAGTTAATAATCTCTCTGTGAACTTCAACAGTGGGAAAGAAAAACTTGATCCTTAATCTACAATGTAGAAAAGGTCAACCAAATTAATGGGTTCGGGATGGGAGGTACCTATGGGAAGATGAAAAGGAAGATGGGCTCTTAAACCTCCTGGGCCGTGTTTTAGCAGTTGGCTGAGTCCTGGGCTGTGTTTTAGCAGTTGGCTGAGTCATGAAACAGTTATATGCCTGACATCACATCTTTGCTCAGAAATTTCCAGCAGGAAGGACATTGTGTCTTTAAAAATATCCTCTGAAGGATCACTGTTAACAGTTATAACAATTTTAAGAAAAATATTCCTATTAAATGAGACACATTGAAAGCTTGGAAGACTATCAATACTTGTATTTTGATTGGCCATGAAATCTGAAAAAAAACCTACATAAATACTGATAGCTGTGATTTTTCAAAAAGTCATTCACAAAAAAATGAATCAGCAGATATTTGGTGATTTAATTGTTGAAAAATTAAATTACAAATTTATTTAAAGGAGGTTTTAGTTACGTAGGAAAAAGTCCTATCTTCAGTAACATTCTAAAAATGTTCTTTTACCAGTGACCTGGCAAAGACATGGACAGTCAAGCATTTCCACATTCAAAAGGTGGAATTGATACTAAGATTGCATTCTTAGCAGATACTGATGCAGCACACAGGATTAACTTGTAAAATTGCCTATTGATCCAAGTTAGGAGCAGATGTTCAATACCCTAGTAAGTAGCTATATACATACAACTTTATTGGTAAAGGCTTTTATCTTTCTTAATTTTGTATTGTATAAATAACTCAAAAATAAGAATAAAAAAATAACCACAAATCTACTACTCAGAGGTAATGTCTCTTAACAGATTTGATCTATTTTAAAATGAATTATTATTTTTAAACATATTTCCATTTCATAAAATAGGAACAAATTCTAACTACCAAGATGTGCATTTGTTTTATTTGGCATTAACATTTCTTTCAACCTAAAATTCAGAATAAATACATGGATCAAGCTTAATCCCAAGGAAATATACTTTTAATTTGTTTCCTTCTTAGCCTTGGCCTTTCTATTTTTCTAAAGAGAAATGGCAGTTCTTTGAGAAGAATGAAGTATATTGTAAGTGGAGACTGCAGGACCACTTCAGAGGCGGCCGACTCCTAACAGGTAGGGGAATGCAGGGTGCATTGTCTGCATGGCTGGAACACAGCAGCTGCAGTAACAGCAAGTATAACTCCTCTTTTTATTTGTGTTGTCATTATGTGCATAAAACTGTAACAGCAAAGATGCCATTGACAGCATGCCCTTTTCTTTGCTTGGCCTCCTTGAGATCATGGCTTGATTCCTAGTTCTAGGGGAAGGGAAGAAAAAAAAAGAAGAGAGGAAAGAAAAAAAGGGAAGGAAGGAGGGGGAGGAGGGAGGGAGGAAGATGTGGAAGGAAGGAAGCAGAGGAGGAAGAAGGAAGAACCACATCTACTATCCACTTCCTTAGAGGTCCTTCCTTCCTCACTGAGAAAGATTGAAAAGAGGTAAACACAAGCCTGCTCTTCTGTAGACCCATCTATCCTGAAATGTCAGCTCACATTTGTATGTCGGCAGGACATCCTGACCCTAATTAGCGGAGGATAGAGTTTGAGCCCTGTGCCACTCAATCAGGAACAAGCAGGCACATTATTACGTGATCAGAGATCACAATCAATAGTGACCTCTCTCTCTGTTGCATCAACCTCAATAAGTTGATCTGAAAAGTTACTTTGTTTCAAATGTGTTTGGGAACATTAACAATAACTACAAAATAAAAAGAAGCATGTATGCAACAGTTGAAGAAAAAGTGCAATATACCTTCTTTCATTACAAATTTTTACTAACAAAACAAGCAACTGACTCAAATTCCTCACGTAAGGAAATGATTTTTAAATTTGGAGGAAAAAATTTTAATTTGAAAGCACAAGTGTAGAGAATAGGAAGTCTGTTTTTACCTTTTCATTTCTTATCTCTTATCAGCTTCCTTCCTGTCTTCATTTTTAGTCTGCCTTCATTATGGCCAATAGAAATTGTAAATGAAGCACTCACATGGGTTTTGGAGACAAACACAAATTGTTTTATGATATCAACATTAAGTAAAAACTTTCTACTGAAATAGATTGTGAAACTTGCGATAAATTAAGTTATAGATGAGAGTGAACTGATGTCAAGTTCTGGATATATTATTATTATTATATTTTATGATGAAAAAAGTATTCTACATCTGTGCTGAAATTTGTGATGAATAGAAGAGTCTACGACTATGTTGTCCAACAGAACAGCCACATGTGGCAATCGAGAATTTGAAATTATGAGTAGTGTGAATGAAGTAATGCACTGAAAACTTTATTTAATTAGTTTAAGGTGAAATTGAAATAGCCACGCATGACCAGTAGCTATCCTGCTGTACAGGACAGCTAAATTTGAATAAGTGAGAGGTAATAGCTAGCCACAGGTTCAGAGACGTCTTCTTGAAGGAGATGAGAGTGTTCAAGTGCCAGGCAGGTTGACAGAAAGGAGCAGGAAGTCAAGGCAGGGTATTTGAAAACGTGTGTTTACAAATATAGTTGGCTTTTGTGGTAGGGAAGATGTCTTAGTAAGTGAAGTGTTTGCCACGTAAGTACGAGTTCAATTTCCAGCACCCATATGACGAAATTATTAGACCCGACAGCACACACCTGCGATCCTAGTACTGAGGAGCAAAGACAAGAGTATAAGAGTATTCCTGGGGCTTGTTGGATAGCTCATATTCAGTGAGAGACCCTAGCTCAAAATGTAAGGCAGGCAGTGAATGAGATAAACATCCGATGTAGATCTCTGGCCTCCATACACACATGAACGTACACAAAAAAAGACATGTGCAAAAGAACATGTTTGGCTTTTAAGAAGCCACTGAAGTTTAACATCCACACTCATAAAGCTTGCTTTCAATGTGTATTTCCAATGGTCAGCCCTGCTAACATACATACAAGTAACATACAGACCTAGCAGGTTGTGTTTATATATTTAAGAATCTATGTTTCTATCTTTATCTGTTTATACACATATACATAAATGTATGTAACAGCATTAATGAAAATATAGGCCATGAATTTTGAGATTATAATCTCAAGAATAAAAATGAATGCAACTTTGAAAAAGTATTGTAAAGTGAAGCTTTTAAAATCAGGAACTGTGATTATAATATTATATCTTCTTCTTTTCTCCTTCCAGAAGCCCCCCATACCCCTCCTTGCATTTTTGAAAATTCATGGCCTATTTTTTCATTAATTGCTGCTACATACATTTATGTATATGTGTAAGCACAGATAAATATAGAGATATAGATTCCTAAATATATAAATATAACCTACTAGGCCTGTATATTACGCATATGTATGTTATCAAGGCAGACCACTGGAAATAAATGTTGAAAGCAAGCTTTATGGGTGTCAGGAACACAAACTACTGCTTGAAACAGAGGGTCTTCATTTCCACGTACCCAGATTCCTAAAATCAAAACTAACGAACATTTTCAGGACAGTGGAGAAGAGAGAAGCCCCATGTTGCTGCCTGTGGAATCGGAGGTGATTGCCATGTTGCCTCTCTGTCATTCTGCTTCATCTTACCTCACTTTTCGGGTCTGCACACCCTCTCCACAGTTCTCTTGCATGTCCACAAAGGTCACCTTGCAGACACTCCATGGCTCTGTGACCCATATGTACTGGTTGCAGTCACTGTGGCACGGGACGACCTCATACACCTGAAACACACATCTGGTGATCTCAGGCTGTGCAATGGGAGTCAGGGGTGGGTGGATGGAAGACGCCTATATCGTCATGGTCACTATTTCATCCATCTATTTTAATTCCTCCCCATGATTGTTTATACTCTCAAGTAGTAAGAAAGATCTAGTCTAGTCAAGAGGGGAAACTTGGGCTGAGCTGCATTCTCTGTCTGCTTTTACCCAGTGAGTGTAGATCTAACCCACTAGGCCAGATTTAAAACATATTTTCATAAACTGACATTTAGCATATTATATTATAATCTTCTGGACTATCTGCTTTGTAAAAGGTTTTGTGTGTCTAGTCCTTAGCCTCAGGCACTCTTGTGCTAGATGCTCAGTGGAGATTTGTCAAATGAATGAATGAATGAATGAATGAATGAATGAATACTGCAAACATTTGTTCTTCATATAATCTAGCCATCTTTACATATAAATGTGTATAGTTGTAAGAATTAATTTTTTTATATAAGAAACTGAAATTATAAATAAATGGAAATAAATCCATTCTTAAAACTAGTCCTCAATCACTTGAGGTATGGAAACAAGGTCCTAAATAATTTTTATATGATATATAGCTACAGATACAACTGTCAGCAGCAAGGACCTCACAGAGCACAGCCAACTATTTGTGGTTATTGTCCACAAAGCTTTCAGTCTCAAATACAGTATGTTATGTTTGTTCAGGAATTCTAGAACAATGAAGCAATTGTGCTGTTTTCCAATGAGGAAAATAAGTAGAAGAAATAAATGGACCAACCAAGAATACAACCATCAAAGAAAAATATTTTAAAACATTTTCATAATATATAAAAATTCAATTTTGTTTCCTATTTTACACACACACTCTCTCTCACACTATGGTATATAAATGATTTATGCAATCACTTCCAGGAAACAGATTTAAACAGTCCTTTGGAGCTATTTTCCACATTTGGAGGACTGAAAAACCAAAATAAAGCAGAACTACCCCAGATAAGAAGTAAAACATATGCACTGTTGGAATAAGACTCTAGCTAATGGCACAGCCAGCACAGTCCCATTTGGTGTGTTAAAACAGGACCATTATCACATGGCTAAACGTCCCCCACCCCCCGAGGTAATGGAAGAGTTAAAATGAAGGGGACCTGCTGCTATTCCTAATCCTCTGATAGATGGATCATTATTCCTCTTTGTTGTGGTAAATGCAAATTATTTTATAGACATCTCCAAGTAACCATTTTCAGCCCACCATGCCTCTCTTCTTCAAGCATAAATAAGAGGTTCTGTTGCCTCATCAAAGTGGGATAGGTGAAACATACTCACTCCACCCCATCTTCTCAGGCCCTATAAATAAATTCCGGTAACTACATAAAATAAATAGGGACAGGCAGAGGCTAATCTAGTGGAGAAAGTAATGATTATTTTAAGAACTCTGAAGAATCAGGAGATAAGAATGCTTACCTGTGCCTGGGGTAGTGTTTGGCAGGAATGAAGAAAAGGACAAAAAAAAAAAAAGGTTAAAATGTCAGTTATTTTGATAAGAGCTCACAACCTACATTTCAGTTATAAGGACTTTTATATAAAACATTATTTTTGTAAAAGACTAGGATGTCTTTCTTAGACTTTAGGAGATATAAACCAACCATTTAACAGGACTTAAATTTAAGATGTATAGACAAGGACTGCACAACCAAAGAAAAGATTGTATGTGCAGGATGACCAAGCTTCAAAAACTGAGTGGATCTCCCAGCCCTTGTCATGGTAAACTGAACTATGACTTCAAATAAGTGATGAGCCAAATGATAAATGTCCTGTTGTGTATATATGGACCCACCTACAGATCCATCTATCCCTCAGTTCACTTTAATCCATCCATTCATTTTTAGTGAAATAAGAACCTTAGGACTTAACTTCAGCTAGGAAACAACTTCAGAGACCATTTTTCAAGTCAAGGGACTGCTATATTTTTACTGAGGAATTAATTATACTAAAATCTGCATGCCTTATATTTTTAAACATCACCACATGTTTTGTATATTTTATTTTTTTGACTATTTTACTAATACTTAAATCCCTGTTTATTTTGGAAAGTAACAATGGAAGTGTCTTAGTCTAGCAATTTGTACAGTACAGACAACTTAGGACATGGTCATGATGAAACTTTGGAAACAGAAGCGCTCAGGCAAACATGGCTTATTTGCATTTCATACTGACTCATTGGACACATACACTCATGAGGTGTTGCGTATATGAGAACGTCCTCTTTGTTAGATCACAATTTATTAATATTTAAATTTGTCATTGGAAATTCAAGATTCCCTAAGTTGTAGACAAGCATTCTTCTGGATCATATATATGTCACCTCTGCTATTCTGTTTCATATTCACACAATTAAGTGCTGCAGATGAATTTCAGCTTTGGAAATGAACACTTGCAGTGTAGGAATATAAAACATTCCGTGACAAGGCAGCTCAACTGCCAGTAGATGGCGATAGTCGAGTGTATTATTCTCTCTCCATTGCCTAAATTCATCAACTTTGGAAAACTTCAGACTGAGAATACTTTCCATGAATTTAATTCTTCAATGTTTCCATTTTTATTTACTTAAAATACCTATTAACTTACTTATTATTTAATTAATATATAATTATAATTAAAATTATAATAATATAACTTAATACTTATTTACTTAAAATACTTATTTACTCTTTATGTGGTAAAGTTCTATTGTTATCAACAGTCTTAGGTTAATCAGAAGGAAACAGAAGATAACAATGCAGCTAGAGATTAAAATGAGATAGGCTATGTCCCCATGAAACAGCTTTACATATTTAAATACTTGGTTCATTTGATCATGGCTCAAATTCAAAACATAACATCTGCACACACTCTAAATCCATTCGGTGCTAATTTACATGCCGATAAACTGTGATAACAATTGTCTGTTCTGTTACACTTAAATTAATCACAACTCTGTCATTAGCCATTTTACTCTTTATCTGCAATAGAATACAAATAACAATCACTTGCAGCAGCTAATGAAGTGTGCCTGCAAGCCCTAACACAGCTCCAATGTTAGAAAAGGCAGAGACTAAATTGCTAGCATATGTATATATACATATATATGCCTATATATATATATGTAAGCTTTGTTCTTCATATTTATTTTCTTGAATTTATTTTTACACAGAGTAGATTGAAAGGAATAAATAATATTTCCCCTAATTTTAGAGAACACTCAAGTCCTTTCTTCGCTTTTATGTTTAGTACTTGGTAACTGAGAACTCTCTCTAGTAGTCTAGGGAAACCATAAGAATTATGTGACCTCATCACAGCAGTAAGGCACAATTGTATGGCAGATTAAATACCTTGCCGTTATTCACAAGATAGGTGTCATTTTACCTCTCTGGAATTCTGTTCCTATCTAGCTGCTTGCAGGATTCTGAATCCCCAGAGAATTCAGAGATAATATATATAATTTGAGATTTTAGTAAGTTACATGTAATTTACTCAGACCTTATAAGAATAGAAATCGATCATATTCCTTATTCAGGAGCAATTATTTAATTTTGTACATTTTGGAGAGATAATTGATCCTTGGGAATCTCAGAAATATCTTAATACACTTGGTGTTAGAGAAATACCTGGTTGACATGGTCCAGTTTGGGGCAAGGCCTTCCTCCATTATAAGGCTTTTCTCGAAGCCACTTGGACCTGACCTTCACGCCGCTGCCACAGGACTTACTGCAGCGAGACCAGTTGGACCACTCACTGAGCTTGCAGTCTGAGGGGCAGGGGATGATGCATGCTTCTTCTATGTAACCTGAGCAGAGGAAAATGGAACAAGAAGTTGCCACGTGTCATTCTCCGCCTCACACCTGCCATTCCAGCTCATTAGAAGGTCCACTTTGGACTTGACAGCAGCATGCAAATGAAGAGATGTCTGTGTCCTTAGGGACTCAAATTAAATTCTGCAGGGAAATGACACATCTATACCACGACTGTGTTAAAATAACAGCTGAGTAGCTGCCATATGATCTGCTTAGGATTCATGCCCACCATGTTTCAATATTTCTGACTCTGTGACAGCTCTTGTTTAATTGACAGTAACCTGTCGGCTAACCATCTTACTCTCAATGCTGCCAGAACACTGTTAAAAATCTCCTAACACAGATTTCTGTGACACCTTATGTGTTAATGCCACACACTGGCAGGGCTCCGAGTCCTCACAGCATTCTTCCTCAAGAAAAGCCAGTCTGTCTCAATAACCATCTGAAAGAATCCATTTAAGTTAGTGCCTTGTGTTTCCCCTTCCTTGAAAATCAATTCTGAGGAGGGAAATTGAAGGATGTTATGCAAACAACGCCTCATATCTCCACAGCAGTGTTACTATTAAAGCCACACCTAATGTTGGGTCCATTTGACTCTCTTGGAATTTTAACTGTATTAGGCAGAAACAAGAAAACAAACACAGAGAGATGATTGACAAGGCTAAGAGCTCAGGGAAAGGAATCGTGTAGACTCATTCCATCAACTGACTAGCTAAAAGAATAGTGTATAGATTGCATTCGGGAAGCAGGCTGCTTTCTTTGATTAGTTCTTTACTTCCAAGTTGACATTTCATGATATCAAATATCATGAAACATCAAATAGATGGAAAAGCAAAATTCCTCTGGTCAAAAATCAAATGCCTATTCTTCCTCCTTCTGTATATTGACTTTAGAAAGAAGTCAAAATCAGTCTGCTTCATCATTTTACATCGATGGCACAGACTGGATCATGCAAGTGACCACCATATTCACAATCGACTAGGGGACAGGTAGATTGAAAACATGTTGAACTAAAAAATCATATAACATAAAAAACCAGCTTATGTTTTGAATTTTTGTATATTTGCTGGGTTGTATAGTTAACATCTAAATTTTAGGGTTTTAGATCATCTTTAGGCTCCTTTTCTGAAATTCTGCCCTTACTATTATCACTCAATATCCACTTTTCATCTTCCCCTTCCTATGCCAACAATAATTTACTATGGGGCTTTACAAAATTGCATTTTAATTCACATTTCATATAAATGAGACCAAATGAAACAATATCCATTTTTGTTTTCATTTAGTTAAATGGTTTCCCCATATCGAGGCTGGACAAGGCAACCCAATAGGAGGAAAAGAGTTCCAAGAGCAGACAAAAGGAGGTTCTATAATAAACAAACAAACAAATAAAAGATTTAAATGTTGACAAAAATCTACCTTTTTTTTTCTCTATATTTCCTTGTGCTTAGGTTTTATGTCTAGGAAATTGTTTTCTAATTCAAACTCACAAAGATTTATATTCTTTTTTTCTCTAAGAGTTCTATAAATTTGAATTTTTCTTTGGTTTAAATTTTCCATATGAGTAAAGGGCCCATCCTTTTGCATGTAGTCACTGACATTACCTATAGTGCCATGGAATCAGTCATCAGCTTTCCGAGTCATCCCGATGCCGTTTCTTGAAAGCTTTTGCTCTCCACATTGAAGGAAGGGTTGATTTCTGGACCTGAGGTTTCATTCCTTTGTGTCTATCTCTAGTCTTAGTTCCACTCTGATTTGACAAGTTTAACTTCAGAGAGAGCTTTGAAATCAGGAAGTGTGAATATTTCAATTTTATTCTTTCTCAATATAGATTTGGTTATTTTTGAATCATGAATTTTAGAACAGCTCTTCAATTTCTGCAATTAAAGATATTTGGAATTCCAATGGGAATCACTTCAAGTCTGCTCAACTTGAGTGTCTTGCCATGGTAACAATCCAGGTAGTTGAGAAGCTGGGATTTCTTTCCATTTATTTG